ACGTGGCTGGCGCCTTAGCCGGTTGAGCTATAGGCGCCGAGCCTAAATAAAGGTACCTTTAGCTAAAATTTCCCATTTCTAGTGTGTATCACAACTTTGTCGGTGACTTTTAGGACACCCTCTAATGCCATTCAGAACAGACCAACATTTTTTCTTTCTTTTTTTTTTTCTTTAATTGGAGACAGCTTTCCACTCTGTTGCCCCAGGCTAGAGTGCCATGGTATCAGCCTTGCCCACAGCAGCCTCAGACTCATGGGTTCATACAAGCTGTTCATTTGGCTATGAAGTCTGGCTATGATGTCCTCTAACTTTTTTTGAATGGCAATTCCGATTTTCTTCAAAGCTCAGCTTTCAGGTAAGCTGTCTTAAAATACAATAGTGATTAGGTACCCCTCCTACAGGTGCTTTTGTACAAGGCCATAACAATATTTTATTCTAAACATAGATTAATCATTGATCCTCCTGCCTCAGCCTCCCAGGCATCTTGGACTAGAGGTGCCCACCACAGTGCCCGGCTGATTTTTCTATTTTTTGTGGAGATGGAGTCTGTCCCTTGTTCAGGCTGGTCTTGATTTCCTGAGCTTAAGCTATCCTCTGCTTCATCCTTCAAGTACTGGGATTATACACATGAGCCACCATGCTGGCCTCAGACCAACTTTTTAAAATCAGTTTCTAAGCTTTTCAAATCTTGGTGGCATGTTTTCTTATGTAGTTGCTTTGCAAATTAGGTACAGATTTCCTCCTATTCCTGTGGATGTTTTAAATTTGAAATGAAGTAGGTTTCAACTAGGGTTATTTAAAAATGTGATTTTAGTTTTCAATAGTGATTATTTAGGTTTGTATTCTTTCACAAAAGGATCTTTCAGTTTAGGAAATGTAGTTTCAGTGATGGCTTGTCAGGTTCTTAAAGATTTCAGGGCTGTGGGGCAGCACCTGTGACTCAGTGGGTAGCGTGCTGGCCCCATATACCAAGGGTGGCGGGTTTGAACCTAGGCCCAGCCAAACTTCAACAACAACCAAAAAAATAGCTGGGTGTTGTCGCGGGCACCTGTAGTCCCAGCTACTTCGGAGGCTGAGGCAAGATAATCGCTTAAACCCAGGAGTTGGAAGTTGCTGTGAGCTGTGATGCCACAGCACTCTACTAAGGGCGATAAAGTGAGACTCTGTCTCTTAAAAAAAAAAAAAGATTTCAGGGCTAAAGAGTATTCTTTTTTTACCCCTCACTTAGTAAGTGCCATGGTGTCATAGCTCACAGCAACCTCAAACTCTTGGGCTCCAGGGATTCTCTTGCTTCAGCCTCCCAAGTAGCTGGGACTATAGGTGCCTGCCACAGTGTCTGGCTATTTTTATAGATGAGGTCTGCTCTGGCTCAGGCTGGTCTCAAACCTGTGAGCTCAGGCAGTCAACCTGACTTGGCCTCCCAGAGTGCTAAGATTACACGTGTGAGCCACGTAGAGGCATGAGCCTGGCCTAAAAGAGTATTCCTATTGCAATTGATAGGGCTTTAGTAGGTTAGTGTAATCATTTTTTTTGGTAGCACAGGACAGAAACAGTGTTACCCAATCTAGCTCAAGAAGAGACATTATTTATTAAAAAGAGATTTCATTAAATTGAAAAATAAAGATTATGGTATTGCTAGGCCCTCCTGGGCAGTAGGACTGGGAACCAGAAAGGTACCAGCAATTAAGGTGACTGTTTTTGCTCTCTAGAGCAGGTGTCCTCAAACTACGGCCCATAGGCCACAAACAGCCCGCCTAGGACATTTATCCACCCTGCTGCCTGTCCTGCTTAGCAGCCAACTGACTAGTCCTGGGGCCCGCAGTCTGGCCCTCCAACGGTCTGAGGGACAGTGAACTGGCCCCGTGTTTAAAAAGTTTGAGGACTCCTGCTCTAGAGTATTTGTTAGCTCAGTTTTTTTTTTCTCCTGTGTATCTGACCCAAGGCAATTCTAAGTCACTTTCCAGTGTGGTAGAGAGAATCTGATTGTTCTGAGCTCATTTGGTTAAGCCTGACTGCTCAAATTATAGTTTGCTATAATGAAATGGGCCCTTATGACAGGCTTCATTAGTTGTGGCTAGAGAAGTTTATAAGATCTGTCGAAGATTTGAAGATTTCACATAAGGAAACTGATAAGGCCTGTGTTGAAGTTGTGCAGAAAGTCTTGATAACACATGTAGGAGGAGTACCTAATCACTATGGTATTTTAAAATGGCTTACCTGAAAGCTGAGCCTTGAAGAAACAGGAATTGCCATTCAAAAAGGGAGTTAGAGGACATCATAGCCAGACTTCATAGCTAAATGGAACAACTTGTATGAAGACCCAGATGTTCATCCAAATGTTCATCCTGTGTTCTTAGAAGCACAAGTATTTTGTATGCCTGGATTTTGGGGTATATTCAGATGATAAAGCAAGAACAGAAGATTGCCATTAAGCTATGGAGTGACATGATGGAAATTTAGGGTTAGGAGAATTGCTGTGGGAGCCTTTGTAGAAGACCATTCATTAATAAAGGGTTGAGGTTGGATGCAGTTTGGTTAGGAGCCAGTTAGTAATCCAGATGAGAAATGATGAGAGTGTGAGTTAAGGCACGGATAGTCAGAAAGATAAAAAATTAATGTGATAAATATTTGGGAGATACTCTCAGCAGGATTTGTGAATCAGTTGGATATGGGGAACAAAAAGATCAAGAATGATTTATGTCAGGATAGGCAGGGTTTTGGAAATAACCCCAAATCTCAGTAGTTTGACAAAACAGATTATTTTTTACACAAGGTTGATTGAGGTAGGAACTCATTGGGATCACTCACTCTGGGATGAAGCTGATGAATCAGCTCATCTTTTGAATGTTGGTGGTCACTGTGGCAGAGGAAAAGAGCCAAACAATGGCTCTTTAGGTATCTTCAGAATAGTGACACAACAGTTCTCATATTTCATTGGTCAAAGCAAGTTATATGGCTGCACCTAACTTAAAGGAACAGAAAATGGAATGAACCCAGAAGGAACTTTGGAAATATTTGGTGAGCAGCACTAATGATACTAGTGATGAGATGCCTTTCACTGAGACAAAAAATATAGGATAAAGGTCAGGGGTTGGTAAGGAAGGAGTGTGATGTTTGTATTCTGGACTTACTGTGTTAAGGGGTTGACCCTGGTAACCATGAAGGTGTAGTACTCCTGCAGGCACTTATTAAATCTGGGGGTGTTAGAGCTCAAGAGAAGAATGCCTAAGAGATTGGAAATTTGGTAATGAAAAGGTGGTGAATTAAATCTGGATGGGATATATTTATCTCAGTGATAATATATTAAATGCTTTGCCTCAGATGTTGGATTGGATAAGAGGGAGATTAAGAGAGAGATTTTTGGTGAGAGCTGGTATGAATCCTAAGTTCCATGGTTTCAGGCAGAAGTGAATTGAGTTGAGTGTCAAAGAGGTAGAGGTCTTTTTGCCAACTTTAATTAACCTTACTAACAAATGCTTTGTATTATCACTGTGTTTGGTTAATAGCATAAAATATTTAACTATTATTAATGTGGTTATTCTACATGATTTTTAAAGATGGATTTGTTGCTATATGTGAGGAATTACAAAGACTTTAAAAAATAACTAGTATTTGTGCCATTATTAATTACATAGCATATCAAAGTGATTTTAAAGTTCTTTATTATTTGAATAATTATGGTTGGCATGAGATTTGGAATTAGGTGATTAGATGTTTTAGATCACCGTTAAGATAGGATTTTATTAGACAGAAAGGGATACAGAATGAGTAAAAAGCACCAGAGCTTCTGGCAAAGGGGACAACCCACCTTGGAAATCTTCCTGATTAGGTTTTATTATATCTTAACTTTTGCCATTTACTTGTTCTGGGATTGTGGTCACTTTCTTTGACCTGTTTTGCAAACTAAAGTAAATTACTGTTGCACAAGTCACATATTTTTTAAGTGATCTCTCCTTTTTTTTAAAGAATGAAGACTAGTAATGTTTCAAAATGATTGTATATTTATTTTACAGATGATATATATATTTAGTTTGGGTCCTTTTTCTTTTTTTTGCTAAAGACAATTATAGATCTTTTTTTTTTTTTTTTTTTGAGACAGAACCTCAAGCTATCCCCCTGGGTAGAAAGCCGCAGCTCACAGCAACCTCCAACTCCTGGGCTCAAGCGAGTCTCCTGCCTCAGCCTTCCAAGTAGCTGGGACCACAGGCGCCCGCCGCCACAACGCCCGGCTATTTTTTGGTTGCAGCCATCATTGTTGTTTGGCGGGTCCGGGCTGGATTCGAACCTGCCACCTTAGGTGTATGTGGCTGGCGCCTTAGCCACTTGAGCCACAATTATAGATCTTAATGAAAAAGGATTATGGATGGGTTGACAAGATGATTTGCCTATGAAGCTAGTATATTTTGGAGTCCAACAAGATGAATTCACGTTAGGAAAAGTTCCTTTCTGTTGTGCTGTCTCTGGTTCCTTCTTACTGTAAACCTAGACTGAACTGAATCAAGAAAGACTAAAGTTTATACTGTTTTCCATTTAAATATATGAAATTTTATTTGTAAGATTTTGTATCTGGACAATCACATTGTTCAGCTTAAAGCAGTCTGGGCAAATGAGCTTAATTTTAATTACATATCTGATTGTTTTTAAGATTGTTGTGAAGTTTTGGGTGATTTAAATGCTGGAAATCATGTTTAGGAAGAGTTGGAGTAGTTATAAAATTTAGAGGAATTGGAGCAAAAGATGATGTACTGATTATCTTTGCTATTAATGTTTCACTCAGATTAAGGACAGATTAATTTTGAGTTTCAAGTTTTACAAATAAGGGTATAGGTTGCCTTCTGTCTTGGCAGACAAGTCACCATTAAATGACTAAATTTTGCTATTTTGTCTTAATGATCCTTAGCAGCAAAAATTCTTTAATTATGTAAAAACTAAATTTGAAATGAAAATAGCAAAACCAAGCAAATGTTTATTAGTCCAATTGTTTTCTTTTTGTTTTGCAGCAACGCACCTCTTGCTTTTTCCTCCAAAGTATGTTATGTTAAGTTTCGTGACCCATCAAGTGTTGGTGTGGCCCAGCATCTAACTAACACGGTTTTTATTGACAGAGCTCTGATAGTTGTTCCTTGTGCAGAAGGTTGGTATCTCACATGTTTTTTTCCCATTGTTTTAATCTGTGTCCTGTGTGTTACTGCCTTTGGCTTCCTAGAAATTGGCAAGTAGGCAGTTGTGTGTGTGTGTGTCTGACAGAGAGAATGAAATTTGGGGAAGGAAACAATTTTAAAAGTTCATAAATTATTTGGCTTCTCTGGTTTGCTTTGACTTTCTATAGTCAGTTTGTAGACTATAAAGAAGTCTTTCTAAAATTAAAAAAATTAGTAAGTTGATATGGGAAATTATTTTAAAGGACAAATAAGCAAGCATTTACTTTACATGTTCAGTACTAATACTATTACAAATTAAAACATTTGCACACATTTTTCCAAATTCAGACTAAATGATATTTTAAAAGTTTGTAATTTTTTACTTTCAAGTACCTCTTAAGGTAATTTACCTTAATTGTTACTGTGGGACCATTATTTTATACTCAGTGCAATTGTTTACTGTGAAATTAGAATTTACTTTTTTCTTTCATTGGCTTTTTGTACGTAGAGGGTCCAAAAAAAAAGAAAAAAGAGCCTCCATCAAGGAATTAGTTGTTGAAGATAAGAACAAAGGTCTCATAGTTACTTGTTAAATTTTATGACTTAAACTGTTTTAAGAACTAACTATTACTAATATTCTTTAGTAACTTGTATTTACAGAACTACTCACATATAATAAGCTATGCTAAATTTTGACAGTTCTGGTGTATAATTTTATTCAGAAGGATTATGGCGTGTGTACATGGATTTTAGAATTGGATTATTGTAAATTTAAATGTCCTTAAAATAGATTTTCTCTGGTGGATGATGGTAATTGTTTTATAGCATAAAAGTTTACCTGCAACAGTTTAATGGTATTTCATGTGTAATTTTTAAACCCTCTTTTCATGGCCAGGTCAGTATTAAAATATTAATAACTTAGTAGGTAATAAGCTATCCACTATACTTTGCTGTAGTTACATAGTTTTATGCTTATTTCAGAGTTCCTATTCTGGGATGTCAAAAACATTACAAATACAGTGAGTTCCAGGCTAGTGTTTTTGAAGTCCTAGAATAGGACATTCTGGATTTTTTTGGACAAATTTTCCCATGCTTGGGGTTAAAGTAGTTAGAGTAAATAAAAATGAATTAAAGTTAATTATTTGCTAAATATATCTCTACCTGCTGATCTATAAGGGTACAGCGAGCCTAAAATTAGGGAGTTTTTTGAAAGGAGCTAGGTAATCATTTAGTTGTACATACTTTGTATTGGAATTTCATACCGAGAAACTGCATGGGAAAAAAATTAAATAGAAGGTTTATTAAACTGGAATATTAATTATATCAGAAAATTATACCTCCAGTAGCACTAGATCTGTTACTATGTTAGCTCATACTGAATTTTATCAGTGTTGCTTGGTTAGAACCTTGCTATAGTCCCATAGAATCTTTCATAGATTGAGAAGGTCTGACTGTGCTTTGTTACAAATATTCAAGACTTTGGACATGTAGAGGTCTCTTTTATTGTTTATTTGATATGGAGTGAATAAATGCACATTCAGATATAGCTTTTAATATTTTTAATATTACCATTTTGAGAAAAAACATTATTTTTGAACATGAAAATTTAAGCATACCTTTATTTCAATGTAGTTTGAAGTAAGTAAAGTTTAGAACACTAACCTATAAAATTATAGGAATTACAAATCAGAAACATATTTTTCATTAGTTGTATTAAATACAACAGAGGTGTATCTGTTGTATTAGGTATAGATAGTACCTGAAGAATTTGTTAAAAGTCTGATTATTCACTGCAAGCAAAGGAATAATGCATTGTTTTACTAAAAATAGCAGAGTGATTTTGAAATAATGAGAGGAAGGGATTCTAGTAAATTAAGTTCCGTAAGAGGAGATGTACTGTGGTGCTGTAAGCAGTCTTCATTTCACTGACTGCATCCTTTCCTTGATGTTATACAAACAGCATCATGACATAAATAAAAAGAACCTTAGAAAAAAGTTTTTAAAGTTTTTTTCATTTTTTTTAATTTGCTGCTTTTTTGACAGTAATGTAAGAGGAACATAAACTGTAAAAGTAATGTTTGATGTGTAACAGGTTTGTGCATATTAAGCATTAATCCTTGTTAATAAAACATACCATGTCAAAATAAAATATACATTCATTATTCTTGTCTAAATATGACCTTTTTTGTTGTTACGTGCATTTCAGATTTCTTTTTATAAATGTTAACACTTGGAAAAAGATAAGTTCAAACATAACAAGGGTGTCAGCCTAATCATCAGTCATAACTTTATGTCCACATTTTCTGGTAGATGGATTTTGACTATTAATTTGGTTTTGTATGTTTTCTCTATGTGATATTTGTGCATTATTAGATGACTAGACTGGCCAAGGCAGACCTGTTACACTTGCCTGAGTTAGGCATTGTTTGCCATGCCACTAAACCTGCCGTCAAGTGAAACCTTCATTGGGGAAATGAGATCGAAGTCTGAACCGCAGAAGATGGACGCCCTGTCTCTGTTTTTTATTGTTTTACTTTACTTTCATTTCTTTTTCTTTATTTTGTCCCCCTTTTTTGTTTTTGTTTTTGTTTTTGTTTTGTTAAATCTCTTTCACTTTAACTTGTGAGCTGGTTTTCCAGTTTTTGTAAATGGTATTCCATTAAGGGTTCATAACATGTTTCAAATTATATTGGGAGATGATTAGCAGAGCTCAATGTTAAGATAAATTAAATTTTCATACAATAAATTAGGATACAGTGATGTGAAGCTCTTTGTGAGTCTAAATTGGTGTTTATGCATGATTAGGGACATATTCTTGAAACATTACAACACTGGTAATAATCAATCTTAGGAACAGTTTCTGATCTCAAAGCAACATTTTGTAGTTTTTTTCCAAGTCTACATCTCTCATAAAAACCAGTTGAAAACTTCTAATTTTTATCCTTCCCCCAGGAATTTTAGGCAAGCAAAGTCACTGAGGAAAATAAGTAAATTTGTTATGTAATCTGGAAGTAAGAGAGAAGAGCCTTTCACTTTCGTGATGGTTATTCATCATGGAACTTATTTCCTTAAGAAGTTTTGTTGCCCATGTGGGGAATGGATATTTGAGAAACTGTTGATTATTTATTTGTGTGCGTGTTTTTGTTTGCTTGAATTTTTTTGTTGAAAATTCTTCAAAGATTATCAGCTTCTAAATGGATTTTTGAGATTAGGACTAATACTTAAATACTGTGAGAGATGCTGTTTTCCTCTCAGTTGTTTTTGAGGAGTGCAGTTTGGGAAAAATGCTAATTGCTTATTTCATACTTTTATACACTGATAGCATTTGTTGGATAAATTTGATCTAGTAAGGTAACACCAATGGAACTTTTGCTTAAAGTACCTCAAATGATAATTAGAATAAGAAACATTGTTGTGCTTACAGTTATAGATTCATTTTATTATTCTCAGAAAGGCAGTGAGAGTCCAACAATCTACTGATAACTTTTATTTAAGCTAGAAGTGAAAGACTTCATAATACTAAGTAATTAATTAACTTTTGGCCTATGTTGAATATCCCTTTATTTGTGTGATCCTTCTACACTGCCTTCAGTGGATAGATTTGCTTATTAATTGGCAAGTAATATTAAATTTGGAATATTTTCAGATTGGAACTCTTTTTTTTTTTTTTTTTTTTTTGGGGCATG